GCGTCGGCAGCCGGTTCAAGCCGTCACCGCTACTGCCTAGACACACACAGCCCCACAACTAATTGTTTGTGGCAAGTTCTACTCAGAAGTGGTTGCCGATTTCAATATTCGATTTATTTATTCGCAATGTTCAATGTTTGGGTTATCGATTGATTTGTTGTTTGTGGATAATGTTCGAAAAACTAAATACCTAAATAAGATGATGCTGTTAAATTAAATCATCTGAGCACTATATTGTTTCTCTGAAGAAACATGTAGACTTGCATGTTTTTTGAACGTTTTAAATGAATTTGTCATTCAGTATGAAAACTTTATTACTTATTGGATTTTTGTGCAAGTTATATGTTAACAAGACATGGGATAAGCTGCGCAACGTGTCGTGGTTCTGATTTCAGCACTGAATGACATTTATACTTATTAGAAAATCCACGACTATTTTTAGAAACAATATACATATATATAGAAGTATTTCTTGTCTCAGCTGCCTCACAAGGTACCAAGACTTGTTTTGATATTTCGTCACGAATATTTTGTATGGAGCTTTTTGTGTCACTCAAGTGATGTACATGTTTAATTAGACATTACTTGACACGTCCCTCATACACGCTTACAGGGAGCCATTATTTCAAGTATACGAAAGTTAAAATTTCTGTGCTAACTTGTTGAGCTACGACATAATACCGTAACTTCATTCGTGTAGCGAACTTGTGAAATTTATATTTAAGACGCTACTAAGTTAAACCCGGCTTGCAAACTCCTCAGTCTTAGAGACAACGGGCCATGGGAAACGGGACACTTTAGAATTTTAGAAATTTTCCACGGGTAACTTTGTAATTTTCAGAACGAGCGTTTAGGAGTGAGAGCAACATAAATCATTGTACTTGTTTGTTTATACAGCGTTAACTTTATCAATCATGACGCGGACGAACTGTTACGGCACTCATGTTTTCCTAATCTTGTGTTGTTATTTCGAGAGTCGTGGAACGGCCATCTTTTCAGTGATTGAATTGGGAATAGTCACGTAATGCTTAAAACAGAAAACTAATACAATATCTATAAAACTATTAACTATAAGTAACTAGTCTTACTACTAGTTTAAACTAGTCTTTTAACTGAACTATTTGTTATATAAGCAATTGATCACTCCAAATCAAACTAATTCCAGATTTATAATTGTATACGCGTCTTCTTACTAACACAATGTACAAATTGAAGAAACAAGCTAAATTGAAAACTAATGAAATGTGTTTAAAATGAATCGAAAAGTTAGAAACAATTTGAACTATAACTTCATAATTTAAGTACCTAAATCGTTTCGAAAGCCGCACTATTTCATTATTGGCGAACAGTGTTTCGAACGAAACAACTTATTCAAAGAGGCTTCAATAAAATCGGCACAATATGAAAGTACAATATAACGTGGTAGAATCATAATTTCCGAGGCTCAGGTGGCAAAACACTGCGGTATTTTAGCTGAAGAGCGACCTATTCTCTCGTAAACTGTAGGATTTAGAGCCTAGTTCATACCTAAAACTTTTGCGTCCATCGTTAAACAAAAAATTACTTCACAACCTAAAGTTTTATAATTAAAAACAGTAATTATACTGCGTATTTGATACACTGCATTCGCTTAAATATATTATATCAAACTTCGCTACGATATTAATAAGTTTTCTGAAATCTAATATTACGTTTTACTGCTTTCAAGTTTGGTATTAAGGTTTGTGGGAAAACTTATTTTAGAGCCTTATTCTAAGCCTATAAAAAGGGCTAATTCATTGAGCAACAAACATTTTGAGTAGTTTTTAATGACGGTACCCTGAAAGCCGCGAAGATAGTTTAGACAGAGTAAAATTACAACGTTCTGAAAGCGAAAGTTTCATTTTATGGTATGCAGTATAATTACGACACCATCTGCGAGCCTACATCTTTGATGAATTACTCATCAAATAGCCTCCTTGAATAGTAGTTATCAATATGGTATAAGCTTATCATCAAAGATTTTTACTAACTGTTCTATATATCATTTCGAGTAAAAGTGTAAGATGAAGTAATGGGTCTGCTCGACTGGAGTAATACCACGGCCTAACAGAAAACCGCCCTGAAATAACGCCTCATTTGTGTATTTAGCATAATAACAAAGGCCGGTTACACAATCTCCAAATCTCCAATCCTCAAATCCTTAACCCCTTCGACGTGCGATTACCTATCATCAGGCGAATCGACAGCTCCTTAGCCGATTTATCGCATAAAAAAACACTAAAGCGTGTACTACTAATCTGCTGTATGAGCATTTAAAATACAAGCCAGTTTGTATTCAAGATAAAACGAAAACAAAACACCGGGGTCACCTAATTTTGTTCGTTGTCAAGGTAACATTTCAATTATTTTTTATGAGGAACTTGAACATTTGATGCAAAACATATTTCAATCAGTGAAACCAGTATGAAACCAATAATAAAATATTCTGCTCAAATAAATCAATAACGTGTGGCGTATCGTAATATAAATGTATTTCCCTTGTAGGTCAAGGATCTCGACGGTCCAAGAGAGCGAATATAAGCGAATGAGTTCTAGTCGTAGAAAGCTACAATAAAAATACTTGTAGCTTGTAAGGTCAAATAAAATTGTACTTCAGTATACAAAAAACATCGAATTAATGAGCTTGAATGTGTTGTGAATTACTTTCAGAGTTCATACTTAATTTTGTTATGTGACGACGGCAAACTAGCATTTGCATTATCGAATGGTAAGCCATCGGCGATTCCTATGAGCACCTGCAACACCAGAAGATTTCCAAGTGCATTGTGCCGACCTTTTGGGAAAAAAGGTTTTAGGGGTTTTAGAACATCCCCCCACACTTAATTTCTAATTTGTGCTGAAGCGTACTACACTTTTCATATTGTGGGGGGATTAATTATTACTAATAATATATACGGCATTGCATTTCTATGTTTTGTGGACTTAATTGTATTAGAAAACAATAACATTGAGTCCAACTTTAATAATATTATGATAGCGATCAAACACCCATAGAAATATTTCATGAATGTATACTTTCAAAATTCTACTGCAATGTCAAATATTATTAAAACGTGAATGCAAATAAATAATAGAATTCATAATATACATAAACTTTAATAAATATTTCGGTATTCGTTATTCTTAACAACAGGATAGCATTGTTCTCATATTTGTGGGTGCTGCAGCCAACTATTTACGACTACTAAAAAACGCCCAAACAAAAATGTAGCCGAGTAAAAAAATATTTTTTGTTATTGTATGAATTAAACATGTTATCACGTTGTCAATAAATGCTATCGGGATGTTTTGTGGGCTATAATTTCGGTGCAAACGTCGAAAGTCGGGTCGAGGAGTCGTAGTACGGGTATTAGAGCAAATACATAGATTTCCGGGTGATTGCAAGTCGTGCGTGACTGAACGACCGAGCGAACTCAATCCACAAACATAACTAAATTATATAACGCGATCTCTGATACTTATAAATGCCATCGTTTTGTAGTGTATTTCCTATGCCTTCCTTATCCATGTTTCAATGTTATTGTTACATATCTTTATCAATGTGTTTTGGTTTTAAAGTAAATGTAATAATAATTTGTGGATTTTGAATATTTTCATTCTGTCCTTATTGGATTCGTTCTGGTCCGGAAAATGTGTCTAGCCAAACGTGGTGTAGAAGTACCTTTTAGTTAGGTGGGGAGCCACTACCCGCAAAAAGGCCTTGAAGATCATATAGAAAAGAGAGACATAGGTGCCTGACGCTAGAATTGCTGAGAATTTGCCTTTAACATTTGTCATCAATATTCGAAGTCTTATGAGGCTAGCAAAGAAAGTGTTGTTTATTATTAAACTAGCTTTCGCCCGCAGTTTCGAACGCGTTGTTGATACATCAAATTTAAACCAAATCATTTTTACGTGAAAGAATATTCTGATTTTCCAATCGATTAAATGGAATTATAGCACATTATTATTTATAGGCACTGACTATATAAGAGACATATAAAAGATATCCAATAACCACACATACATGTTATAAAAACATTTGTTTTCAAACATCGAACTCTTTGGCATAGAAAATAAAGGCAACAAAAGCGCGACTTCGGACCTCATTTGATGTCGAAAGACCAAAAGTTTGTTACATAACTCTAAGTATATTTGATCAATATACTTACAGGACATTATCTCCAACTTTTACTTACCAAGAATTCAGTAGCATTGTAGTTCCATTTCAGCGAGTATAATTGATAGCATTTGTCTTACTCTAACTAAGCACATTATTTATCTTCTTGGCGATAGTTTCGATAACTATTTCAATCCAATAACTCTATTGTAAGCGAAGGAGATTCAATGAGCTGTTTCTGAACTCAAGATGGGTATATAAGTTCTATTTAATATGTATCTAGGTATTTATAAGATATTTTACCAGGTTTGTGTTTGTATAGAATTTACAGCTGTTGCTAGTAAGTTTACCTATGTAACTTACGTATTTTGAAATGACTATTATTTTCTCCATACAAGTGCGTACAAATTATTTGAATATAGGAAAATTGTTTCGTTAATAATCAAAGGTCACTTTTCATACTATTGTAATATTTTCTCAATCTTCTTTAACAAAATCCGCCAGTAAATCCAACCTTAAAACGAAAAAAAATGATGCGTCATCCCTGCTTAGACAATAGCAACGTCGTCAGGCTAACCGTAACGACTATCATAGATCTTACAATGACAGTCAATATAAAAGAAAAGTCTAATTCTTCAAAGTTTCTGAAAAACGTGACGTTTGATCAGAAATAAATCTAGTGTCTGTCCACCCAGAATTGGAAAATACTCCCCTTTTAGGTATGTCACCAATATTAGGTAGAAGGATATTTCACACTAAAAACTAAGATTGCATCAGTATTTTAGTCGATTTGTGACATTCATCACGTTGTCATTATGTGTTACGTGATAGCAAGATAAACGAGTATATGGATTACGTAATGGTAAGCAAATGGCGACCATCATGGATACACAAGAAGAGTTACGAGTGCGTTGTTGGCCTTTGGTGAGTAGAGTTTTGGAGATATAAGGATTGGGAAAGGGGATTGGGCCTTCGGTAACCTCACTCACAAACACAATGCTATAGTCGTGTAACGTCGGTTTTCTGTATGGTCGTGGTATCGTGCCGAAACATAACTCTTTCTTTCAATTAGATAAGATTTAATTATCATTTTTACAATTACTTGACGTCTGCATATAAAATTGACATAGATTATAAAACGTAGTTGTGAATATGGAACTTTTTACAAAGTTTAAAAGACTAAAGTCGATTGTGAGCCGAACAATAGTTTGGTTGACAGTTTAAAATGTTCAAACTTCAATAGTGCACACGAACGACTCAATTAAACTGTCGTTTTGCGAACAAAATATAGTTCCCCAAACGTTTTGGATCGTCAGCTCGGGTTTTAAGTCATGACAGAACTAATCCGGTCTGTTGGAATGAAGTGTCTGTTACATTTTTTGCATTCTTTTAAATATTGTCGCTATAGACGAATCCGACTATTCAAAACGTCGAATAGATTTAGATTTGAAATTGGAAATATTGATTTGCTGCTTCCTATTGCATGGAACTCATGAAGACAAAATCCTTTTGTTATCAAAACTTTAGATATATTTACAACAGAATGGCAGACACTAACTATAGAATTGTAATTATCAGTGTTATCCTAGAACTTATTTGTAACTACAACTTTATTTAAGAGAAGCACGTGGGCTGAGAAATTACACTTAATACTCGTTTAGAAATTATTACGAAGATACCTTAATACATTATAATATTCCAAGTACTTACCTAGGATTTAATTTAAATTTAAGCTTTACTAACACCAACTTTATAGCAAATTTCTACTTAGTTGCTAATTTAATTTTTCATTCGTGTATCACAAACGGCCCGGTCGTGGGCTCTACGTTTATGGCGGCCCTATCCTAGGTTAAATCTCATTTTCGGCTACCTAGCGAATGTAAAATTATATTGGAGTCAATTTTGTTTAATACCTGAGGGGGTTTCTCTCTAGAGGTTAATTGGTTCACGCCGGGAAACTTCACAAGCCATATGTGGTTTTCTGGATTTGCCTACCCGAACGAATTTGGTAAGCAGACGGGTTGGCCGCCGCAGTTGGCCCAATTTCTGTACCTTTATACTGCAATATGATATTATGTAACATTAACTCGAATTGATTCCGTGTTCGGGTACTTTGTTAGAGAAATAAGGGTCTGGTTTGATCTTCTATGTTTATTCACTACGCATTTTAGTTTCAGGTAAATAACACGAAGATAGTAATGTATATAAGTGTACAATGTTTTATCTAAGGTATATCAAAGCAAAATAGTTACTAGAAGATATTTTGCAGATAAGAGTAAAGGTATAGACACAGTATCATTTGATTTTAGGCTTTTGACGAGTTTTCACTATCTAAAAGCAATTTAATTTAAGATAATAACAATGTTATAACTAAATCGTGTTCAGAGGAAATGAAAAACGTTTTACAGGGTAGTTTCTCAACATTATTATTTCATAATAACTTTCTATGATAAGTATTTGGAAATTCTGGGTCTAAGCGAAGTCGTAATTTAATTTAGAGTTACGCAACGGGTTGGTAGGGTTGTTGTAACTATTCTGTGATGTTTTGATTACAATTAAAATGTGGCTCGTCCTCTGAGCGCGACTTAATTGCTTCACGTTGTAGAACTTTGAGCCGCACGCGGTTACTCCTCTAAAAACACTTTAACCAGGTGTAACTGGCACGAGTTATCCAGTCTATTTTGATAAGTCAATGATTGTTTTATATTATTTGGTCCTTGACATCTCCACCTCTTTAGAAATAAATTAAACCATACATAATATACATTTTAATCGGCTCGACAATTATTAGAGAATGCCTAAAGCATTAAGTCTACATATAAGTAAGTACTCACTGCGCACGAAGAATTAATTAAATAAATACATTTTTGATTTGTATTAATTAAAATTTTATATTGCAAGAGCTGAGGTATCATTTTTAAATACATATTATTAAAGAAAGGTTTGTATTTATTTTTAGTCAAAATTAAATATTCTGATTTACATAAAGAATTGTTATTATGTATTTAAAAAAGAAATAACTATAGATAAGAAGTCGATGGCAAAATCTTTTAGAACGGTTATCATTTTACTCTTGCTCACTTCAAACGGACAAATTTGAAACAAAATCTTCAAGATTAGAATGTCAATAGGTACCAAAGTCCAATGGCAGACGTTATCAGCGATTTAATTTTTTAGAATGATCGCTAGCTGTCTCCTCAGAATTACTCAATCGAAGAACCCATCAATAACTATCGGATAACCATTTTCAGACTGATATCTTTGATTTTGATCCCTTAGTGTTTGAGGATTTTGAGGTAAGATTACGTCTTTTTAAATTTAGAATGTCTATTTGAATATCTGGATCGGTTTTCTTAAAATATTGTTGTTAATGAAATGTGAAATTGTTTTTAAAAATATAAGAAGCCAATCTATGACTATGTTGATAACAGCAAATACCTTAACGGGAAATTAAACTTAAATACAAAATGTTACACAAAATTACAATTCATGTTCGAGATACTCATTTACATGTCTCGAACCAAATCGTTTTCTCATCCACACAAATAATAATAATAAATTATTGCCGTCTGTTAGTTTTACAAAAGTTAATCCCGAGTCGTCCTCAAGTCTGCATTTAAGCCTAAACAAGATCGCTTTTCATTTTCACACTCGGTGTGGGGCGCCCCACTTTGCGTCGAGTCGGCGTCAAGTTTCACAAAGGTTTTGAATAGGAACTACGGGATTTGTGCTTTTTTGGTGAAAACTTTGTGACGCTTTCCCCGAATGTGATTTCGTTATGAATTCATCGCTCAATTGATGCTCTTGGTTCGTATAATTGTTTCTATGCCCGTTTTGTTGCTACTACATCATTCTTCTCTATTATGATTGTAGATCATTCGGTCATTCTTGTTGGCATTGTCGTGTGATTTAAGTTATGTCAACCCTCTAGCTTGTTATTTTATTATTATTATTAAAAACAAAACCGATATCGCACCATTCGTGTAAAAAGGAAGTAAGTGATTTTCACCAACTTTTCAGGAGCTTAAAAAAACTGTCCTATATTTTTATTATGAGGTCTAGAAATATGTTTCAAAGAGAAAATTGCAGGTCACAGTTGCCTTCAACTACACGTGCTATTTAATTGGGGAACAGATAGATGTACTTCGAGATAATTTAAAAAAACACGGTTACTTCTTTATTCCACGAAACACATCACATATTTGCAGGAGTAACTACAATTATTGCTTTTTATTATTGTATTTTTAAATATATTAACTACTTTAACTCTACTTACGGCTTTGCACTCTCTTATATTTCGTTATAATCTAGAGTTGTAAGTGTAATCACGTTGTTATTTAACGAAAAATCCTTTTTTGTAAATAGAGTTACGTATTTTTAGCTAGCTATTTATTTAAGTTTAGTAGGTGTATTTATAAAAAAAGCTTTTATAATGCGGAACGTAATCGATTATTAAATTTGTATCATGCAATACCTAATTCTTATAGTAAATAGTGTATGTTTGGCAAAACTGTAAATACTGAAACAAAATAATTGAGAGAAAATGAAAACAATTACAGATTGAATACTTAAGCTCTTCGAACTCTCGCGCCCGGCTCTAGTCGAGGCCATGGTTCGTAGCGAAAGGAACTGGGAATCCGTCTCCTCTTTCTGTGAAGCAGTGATGCTCGCAAAGGAGGAAGCGGAGCGCGTGAGGGAACTATCCTCCTCGCGCCCCAGCTGCCGCGGTAGGCGACATTCCGGGCATCGGGGATCGAAAGATGATCTCCGGCCACCGCAACGGACGGAGAGTAAGCGTAGCTCGCGGCCCGACCTGAACCAGACTCGAGTGTATGGCGCGTAGCGTTCTGCGCGATACTCCAAGAGCCAAAAGACCACCACATACGGGGCTCTATAGGGCTGATGTTCAGCCGAGGTTGCGGGGTAAGCACAATGAGGCAGCGCGACCTCGGCCCAGAGCAGGAGAACAATCGGGTGGGTTTTTATTCAGTAAGAGTCTGACACTCCCTCCCGCCCGGCCCTGGGTGGGAAAAGTCATTTGACGATTTCCCTCTCGCAAAAAAAGCTCCTTTAATAAGTCTGTTAGTGTGGAGGTATGTTATTATCTCTACATAGAACTATCGAGTCTTTGTATAATTTTCCGGACATTAAAGATATACCGAAATCTCTTTAACTTTACTCCAACTAAGTTTCTTACCGAAGTCATTCATTCCACATTCCACACATTCCATCTGCTCGTTTGCGGGTGCTGCGGGTGTCATCTGCTCGTTTGCGGAGGCAAACGAGCAGATGACACCCGCAGCACCAGAGGAGACACAGGTGCGTTTCCGGCTTTTTAAGAAGGAGTACGGTCGTGTCTTGAAGGTTTGGACGTCGAATCGGTTCGGGAATACCGCCGCCGGAAGATCATATTCCAAAGTTTTGCTGTGAGGGGCAGAAAGTTTCGCGTGAATTGCATAGTTGTTGACTGCCAACCATCTATGTGATGGGGATGAAAATGCTTTCACGTAGGACGTTGCCTAAAAGAAGCGACGGGGATTAAATCGAACAAGTCCTCAGAACACTCCCCGTGGTAAATGCGATAGAGAACACATAACGAGGCTACATCCCTACGCAGTGCCAAAGATTCCAACCGGTCCGAGATAACAGGGCAGTCAACAATTCGGACAGCTAGCCGTTGAATGCTGTCCAGAAGCTGTTACTGGGGAGAAGCTGTAGCAGTATTCCATATGGGTCTGAACGTGCGCCTTGTACAGTAACAGGCGATGCCCCGGGGTGAAATACTGCCTCGATCTATTGACCACACCTAGTTTTTCGAGGCTAACTTGGCCTTACCCTCTAGATGACCGCGGAACTGGACTTCGCTTGATATGTCGACGCCAAGTATCCCAATACCGGCCGAGGTTGTGAGGGGGGTGCTCTGA